CCTCAGACAGGATCTGCTTGTGTCCTTCTATCGCTGCGCCGTGGAAAGCATCCTCACCTACTGCATCTGCGTGTGGGTTCCTCAGCTGCACAGCCGCAGAGAGGGGTGCACTCCAAAGGGTCATCAACTCGGCCCAGAAGATCATCGGTTGCCCCTTCCCCTCCCTGGAGGTACTGTACAGCTCTCATTGCCTTAAGAAGGCAGTCAAAATCCTCAAGGATCCACACCACCCGGGTAACGAGCACTTTGTACGGCTGCGCTCAGGCAGGCGCTTCTGTACCATGTCTTCCCGGACAAACAGACTCAAGTTCAGTTTTTTCCCCAGGGCCATATGTGCACTAAACGCTGCTAATATTTAAATTATATAAGCCTTCCGTGCAATACGAGGGGAATCGTGCAATTTAATTTATTATTTATTTATGTACATATTCCCTATCATGTCTATTTAAGTCCCATTTATTGTTTTTATGGTGTCTTGTTGTTTTTATATTGTCTTGTTGTTGCGTGTTGGCACCTTGAGTTTATTGTAATTTCGTTGTACCTGTTCAATGACAAAATGAAAGATCTATCGATCTATCTATCTATAATCATAGCACGTATTACCCATATCTGACTGTATGTAGTCTTTTTTCATAATCAATTTCTATCAAATCTATTATTTTTACTTCACCCAACACACAAGTACAGTTATAAATGCAGCTTCCTGTATTCTTAATGCCTAAAAGAAATATGAATTCAAACTGTCACTGCAGCTCTATAGAGTAAAGTGGGTTTTAGTAAGTACAGTATCTCTCTGTAAAAATAGAAAGACCCCGATGCTGCAGCTGTCTTTTCATAGCACCAGCAGTGTGGGCGCCACAGCTCTCTGGCTCACATGCAGCGGCTGCGGCCAGTAAATGGGCCCTCGCTGTGCCTGTGCTCGTTGTGAGCCCAATTTAACAAAAAGGTCCAATCAAACCCCTGCCCCTCTATTGCAAAGGTCACAAGCACTTTAATGGGGAACCCCTCTCTAGCCAGCAGTGGGGAGATGAGGGGAAGTAAACTCCAGCGAGATGGCTTCCTGCCTTTTTCCTCTGCTCTACAAGCTGTACTCAGAAGCTTCTCAGGAGGATATAACGATCTGAAAATCAAGCCTCGCTCATGAGTCATACCACCAGCCGAACCCCCTGCCCTCTTTTTCTCTTTTTAAGCAAACAAAAGTGTTTGGATTTTCATCTAATCCGGCATTAGGGAATAAAAAAGGGAAAGTAAAGGGAGAAGAGGAAGTGTGAGGCACAGAGGGGGGCATGAGGCAGATTTTGAAAAGGTGGGGGGTATTTTACATCGTTATGTGTGGCATTGACAAAGTATTACCCCTTTCTCTCCCTTCTCTGATATGAAGAATATCACTAATATGTTATATATGTGTAGGTATGGCTGCTTATATTTGTGTTCAAGATAATAACCACATTAGTTTATATTATTGCATGTATTTTAATATAATCCAAAGGAAACTAAATCCACACATGTTGCTCTAAACACACAATTAGAGATAATATTGATGAAAAGAGTGATTCAGTAACAAAGATAATAGTCTTAACTAATTAAGTTATATATTTGGATTCAATCACAGGCTCTCTAACTTTGCTATCTTTTTCTAAAAGAAAGATCTATACATTCCTTGTTGTTTTCGCACAGTGATTTAGTGGGCAGTGCACTGAACCCACGCTGTGTACAGTACACCCTCAAAAACACACCGAGCCCTGCTGTGTGTCAGACTGCAGTCAGAGAAGCTGTACGCAGGCTTCACGCTGACTGATCAACTCGCCCCCTGCAGACCCCGGGCCAATACATCCTGATGGGAGGATTTCATCATCAGCAGGAATCTAATTACAGAAAATACTGCTTTGTTTACTTTTAGGCGTCTACCCTCTTGTCCTCATTTGTGCTCCTTTTAAGTCTCCAATATTTGTAAAATACATTTGTGTCTCTATGTCATTAACGATTGCTAATTGCAGCCCATTAGCTTCACAGGAGACGTCTCTTTTATTTAGGAAAATTAGGGAGGCAGTTCTGCGCTGCACAGCATATTAAGTTTCCTTCAAATTAAAGAAAGATTCCGAATGTTCTCATTAAAGATCGGAGAGAAGTCTCAACCTGGGCATTGATTTGTGTTGTGAGGCGAGTGTAACCATTTCATTAGTATAAACAAAGCACAAAGAAAGAAGGTCCACATTCAGTCAGTGAGCCTTTAGAATCACGTTCCCCCCCCATACTGCAAATCGGAGCATTAAAGCAGTAAAGTATATGTGTCTCTGTGTGTCTGCACAAGTGTTGAATACACCAACTACATCAGCAGACCATTTGCTGCCTCTGTATCACCCAGTAACCCCCCCCCCCCCCTCCCTCCTCCTGTCAGAAGATAGGACCGCACAAGCCTCACCCACGGCGCTCGCCTGGTGCCACTCGTTTTCTCTCTGTCCTTTTCTTCCTCTCTTGTTTGTTTTGTTTGTGTCCCTCTCCTCTCTTCCTCCTCTCTTCCAATAAGAACAATAGGTTATGGAACGCATTTTCCTGCGGCATTACTCACAGGCACCAGCCGCCACATGCCATTAGGCTCAGCCGAGGGAGAGGGGCTTCTGGTGGCGGCGCATAGCACGCCTGCCATCTCGTGGTGAGGAGACAGACCTGAAGGCAGAGAGTGGGGGGGGGGAGAGAGGGGGGGATGTTGTGTTCATGAGCTGGGTTCTAGATGGCAAATCTCCATCCAATTTGTTGAAAAGCAGAATAGAATACTTATTTGTGAAGTTGTTGTTTTTTCCAGCTGAACAGGTATGATTGGATCTGGCCCTGATTCGTGCTGTTGTCATGTCGGGCTCTATTCAGGAATATAGCAACCTTGCTTTTTACAAATTAATTGGAGCTATTCTTTAATAGGGTGCAGAGCCAAAAAGTCAGTACGCACTTATTTTATTAACTGTTGTTTTTCACAGATTTAAAACTTCAACACACTAACATTTTGATTCTATTAAATGCAAAATAGGGACTTTTTAAGCAAACCATGATTTGATAAAGGGTAAATTAAGTAAAATATCTGCTGAATATTTTTAGATTGTTGCTTCTCAATAACATCATTCAATTTGATTTGAAACTGTTTTTCTCTTATTTAGTCGATACATTCATACATTGCTTCGTCCGGCAAGTGTCCAGTGTTTGGCTCAGTTGGGTAAAAGCCAAAGCTATATATGAAGACTGTACAGTTGCAAGAAAAAGTATGTGAACCCTTTGGAATGACCTGGATTTCTGCATAAGTTGGTCATAAAATGTGTTCTGATCTTCATCTAAGTCACAACAATAGACAAACACAGTCTGCTTAAACTAATACCACACAAACAATTATATGTTTTCATGTTTTTATTGAACACACCATGTAAACATTCACAGTGCAGGGTGGAAAAAGTGAACCCTTAGACCCTAAAGACTTCTTCAAGAGCTAATTGGAGTCAGGAGTCAGCCAACCTGGAGTCCATCAATGAGACGAGATTGGAGGTGTTGGTTAAAGCTGCCCTGCCCTATAAAAAATACACACCAGTTTTGAATTAGCTATTCTTAAGAAGCATTGCCAGATGTGAACCATGCCTCGCACAAAAGAGCTCTCAGAAGACCTACGATTAAGAATTGTTGACTTGCATAAAGCTGGAAAGGGTTAGAAAAGTATCTCTAAAAGCCTTGATGTTCATCAGTCCACGGTAAGACAAATTGTCTATACATGGAGGAAGTTCAGCACTGTTGCTACTCTCCCTAGGAGTGGCCGTCCTGTAAAGATGACAGCAAGAGCACAGCGCAGAATGCTCAATGAGGTGAAGAAGAATCCTAGAGTGTCAGCTAGAGACTTAAAGAAATCTCTGGCACATGCTAACATCTCTGTTGACGAATCTACGATACGTTAAACACTGAACAAGAATGGAGTTCATGGGAGGACACCACGGAGGACACCACGGAGGAAGCCACTGCTGTCCAGAAAAAACATTGCTACACGTTTGAAGTTTGCAAAAGAGCACCTGGATGTTCCACAGCACTACTGGCAACATATTCTGTGGACAGATGAAACCAAAGTTGAGTTGTTTGGAAGGAACACACAACGCTATGTGTGGAGAATCCAAAGGGTTCACATACTTTTTCTTGCAACTGTATTTGTGGAGGCTCCTGTGTGTTGATAAAAGTCAATAATGAATTACTTTGCACTTTAACATTTACATCGAGACACTAATGGTTAAAACTCGAATGCATGAAAATCTGTTGGATTATGTTTACCACAAGTCGATCAACTTCTAATAAAGTCAGGGATTTGACTATTTATAATGATGAAGAAGAGGTGATAGAAAAGGTGTTACTTGAGTAGAAAAGCAAATATAAGATATACTGTAAAAACCAGTAAGCAGTTTGGACCCTGAGTTTTAACTTGATCATGTTAAGTGGCTTATTAGTTTTTCTGTGTTTTATTATAATATTTAAGTACATTAACTAACTTGCTACTTCCTATTAAGTATCACCGGACATGTTTTCGGTCCTGGATTGCTATCAGAGGGAACCCAAACATTTCAGTCGGTCGTGAAATATGTTACACAACTAATATTGAGCATACTCACCCTGGAGGGACAGCAATCTTCTCTGTGACTTAGTGTAAGGTCGATGTAAAAACAAGATTCACTTTGACAGAGAGGTGACTTCTCTAAAAGTCAATACAAGCCATGCAGGTTGGTAGTTTTATAGAAACACTTTAGACCCAAAAGGATCAATTCTCACCTTGAGTTCCTGAGTTCTTGAACTTTCTTTTTCTCTAATGCCTCCAGGATAAACAAAGAATCCAGTGGCACTTTGCACTCAACTGCAAAAAGGTTAATAAGCAGTAAAGAGTTTAGGCAAAAAAGGCATGTTTGGGAAGAACTGAGATGAATGTGACATTTTGTAAATGCCTGTTTTTTTTTTGTTTATCTGTTTTAACATTTTCTTTTGATCAGGTTTCTGGATCCTTCATTCACCATTGGTGCATACGAGAAAACCGACCTTCAAGAAATCGAGTATCACAAGGTGAGTAATTGCTTTAAAAATGTTCATTTTGTAGGGGAAGTGTCCCATATGTCTCCAAGAAGATTCATCCAGTGACTTCCAACATTCTTCCCGTAAAACCCATTATACGATGCTTTAGGTTCTGCCTGATAGCAAAGCAGCACCAGAGCTGTAAGTGCAACATGCTTCAAGAGCAATGATGTGATTCAGAGTTGATCTAGACTTTAAAAACAATTAGTGTTTCTGTGTGTGTTAAATCAAAGACCGAGTGCTGGGTGGGATCAAGCGAATGAGACAGAATAAAATGGGGTTAATGTCAGAAGATAATAAAATAAGCAGAGGAAAGGGGGAGGGGGGTGACTTCTCAACCCCTTTCTTGTTAATCTGATGGGGGAGAACAATCCATGAGAGCTGGCAGACAGTGGTTGAGCTTTCTCTATCTCCCTCTTGTTTGGCTCCGATATCTCTTCCCCTCACATCCTCTCTCCTTTGCCTTCCCCTCTCCCCTCTCCCCTCACGCTCCTGCCGTCTCCTCTGATAAATCTCTCACCCACTGCTTTTCGCTTCCTCTGTCTGTCCCCATCTCTCTTCTCCCCGGCCGCTCCCATCTCGCCCTGTATCTCTCGCTGTATCTCCCCCCCCCCCTTCTTTTGTTTCATCTTCTCCTCTCCCGACATCCTCACCCCTTCCTCCTCTTCCTCGCTCAGTCTCCCGCCTGCAGGACTGCTCAGTAGATTAAGTTCAGCGGTGGCGGCAGTGTTGCTGATTCAGCCGTATTCTTTCAAATGACCCAAATCCTCACTCTGGAGAAAGCTCATACGCTCGCTGATTGCATTCCTCTCTCTGTCTCTTCTTCTCTTCATGCGGGCAGACGTACACAAAGACACACTTCTTATTGATGTCTAAGAGTTAGCCTCTTCCTTCTTTTTTTTTAGCACAGCCTTCATTGAGTCTCTAAGCCTCCTGTGCGTGTGTGTGTGTGTGTTTGCTCTCTCCACAGTAGCTATATCAATATCGCTAGCAAACCTGCAGGCTTCTTTCAGGACTATTTCTCTTCACCGTCTCCAATCTTCCTTGTTTCTCCTGATCATAGTCGAGCCGAGTTGGCATGTTCATGAAGATAAGGCCATATTTTTCCCGCATCAGCCGCAATGTCAAAGCTGTTTCATTCCTGCAAATGAATGTCTCTTGCACATTGACAACATGACTACATACGTTTTGACTTTCTTTGATACGCCCCGTATTTTTCCTTTTGTTCTGTCAACAACATGGCACTTTTATTGGCTAGACATGAAAGGAAACAACAAACTAAATCAACATTTGAATATGTTTTCCCCATGATGTTAGACGGCCCTGTGTGAAAAGTAGGAACATGCAAGTTTTAAAGAAAGTTAATAAAGTAGTTAAAGAAAATGTGTCGTTGACAGAATGTCATTACTTTATTTTTCTCATTCTGCCTGTGCTGCTACACCTCTTTTCACCCTCTGTCTGAAACCAGAGCCCAGTCTGCTCTGATTGGTTAGCTGGCCGGCTCTGTTGTGATTGGTCATCTGCTCAGTGATGTCCTAACACGTACAATGTGTTGGAGCGCTAGCTAATAGAAGCGTAAGTGTTACATAGTGATGTCACTATTTTATGAAAGTATACAAAGTAGTCCAATGGAGATGTTTGAGGCGAGGGGAGACAAACTCTCTCTGGAGGTAACTTTGGGATTTTAGCCTTTGCAGACCATTTACATGCAAAATAACCTATACAACACAGGGCTGTGCAATTATGGCAAAAATCATAATCACGATTATTTGGGTCAATAATTGATATCACGATTATTTTGACGATTATTCATTGACCATTTATTGAACTTTAAAACAAATACTATTTTTACCAATAAACAAGATCAACAAATATGTTGGAGCGCACTTCCAAAACCATACTAAACATATATTATTAATATGATAAATAAAAATAAATTAGACCAAAATAAATTAAATCAAATATGATGCAGTGCACTGTCACAACCTACTGAAAACTCCTTAACATATAGCCAACATTTTGGTAAAACATATTCAACATATTCCACTCAGTTAAACGTTGAAGGCTGGCCAACCGTCATGGTCCAGAAGTAACAGGAAATAAATGTTGAACTACAATTTAAGACCAAATAAAAATGTTTAGGCCACCATGGCAAATGCTGGTAGGACTGCTCATGTCATCTCTTAAAGATGTTTTGCAAGAAACACCAGGCTGTTTATATGGTCTGGTTTCAGAGATGAGCGCAGGCAGGTGACGATATTGCCACCTGTACTGAAGACCCTCAGCCACGCCCCGACACATGGGGTGACGCCGGCCAATCACAAAGCTTTGATGCGTTCAAGTGCATTATTCTGGCACAGGAAGATTATGTTACAGGACATAAAACAGAATATTGTTGTTCTATTTTTAGACACATCTCGCGATCGACTGGTTGGGCACCCCTGGGCTAGACCATAGGTCTGTTGTGGTAGCAAAGTAGTCAGCTGAAGCCACATCTCTCTCAACTTCCCCACGGCATTTGTCATATAGTGCAGGCAGCGCATACCTGCTGAAATAATACCGAGACGGCATCACGTAACGCTTGTCCAACGTGTTGACAAGTTGCTTAAAGCCCTGATTGCTAACAGTGCTAACTGGGCACATATCTTTAGCGATGTGAAATGTAATGGCACCTGTAATATCTCTGTGTCTCTGCGAGCTCGTCGCGTAGGCCGTTGCTCTGTACAATGCGTCCTGAATCGATGACTGTGATGATGTGGTGGATGAAGTCGAGCGGGCATCTGCTTTTTGTTGTATTACTGCCCGGTCGTATTGCACTTTGTGGTTGTATTTCAGATGATTAAAGAGATTGGTTGTGTTAGCGTGTGGTGACAACACAACCTGGTAACAAATCCTGCACTGTACTTTATTTTGCTCCACGTCGGACTCCTGAAAGCCAAAGTACTTGCAAATAGTGGAAATAGTTTGACCCTTCTTTTTAACGAGTTGCTGCTCTTTTTCTGACATCTTCGCTCGCGCTGAACACTCACAACACATGTCACTCCCACGTGGCCGAGTGGGCTTTTAGGGAGGGGCGAAAGCTCACCCAGCAAAATAATCGTATTTTGTCAATTAGGCCTATGCTGTTTTCATAATCGTCGCAAGCCATAATCGTAATCGCGATTAAAATACGATTAATTGCACAGCCCTACAACACACTACAGGAAAAAAGCATAATAGGGCCCCTTATTTATATAGATATATAAATATTGTATTAGCTTGTCTTTGGCCTAAAAAAAAAACTCAATCTTACTGTAGTGGGAGTGAAAACGCTTAAATGCTATGTGGTGGGGAGAAATAGCATTAATGATTGGCATTTAATCACATTTCTTGAAGAGGAGAATGAACATACACATTTCAAATTCCAACAACATGAACTCATTAAATAGCATCAGGGGTGGCATAGTGTTCATAGGGTCGACCCCCCAGAAGAGCCACTTTGCATCTAAGAGGTAATGTAAATTGTTATGTATGTTTGTCTCTGTGCGCCTATAGCTCAGTAAAGCAGCCTAGCATGGTGTCCGCTCTCAGGTCCAACAGATGCAAAGCTGCTGTTTGATATCCGAGCCTCGTGCTACACAGAAGCTCACAGCGGGGTTATCTGGCAGAAACAACAACAGTTTAACAAAGTACCAACACACATGCAGGTACATTTGAAATGGCAAAAAAAAGGAAGTAGTGAATGCTCAGATGCACATGCCAATACAAAAACACATGGGAGTCCCGGTTCTTGCTTGATTCAGGGTATTTGTATTGGCATTTAGAATAGCCAGTGCATGCTCCATAAAGCCTGTGATGTGGCACGACCCCTTAAAGGCTCTTATTTTTTCAAGAAAACTAAAAAAGTTATTTTATAAGATCTTCAACTTTCCCTACCGTCACACTTTTTGGTTGGCTTTGAGCTAATCAATTTCTCCCCGCTACATAAATGTCGTTTTCCCCCCTGTGTGATATGCTATCTAAGATATTACAAAGTGTGTAGGTGTTAAAATGTAGAGCAATATAAAAGAGAGTGACAATGAAAACAGCAGAGGGAAGAGGGGTAAGTGTTCGAAGCGCTCGGGAAGTTGAACAAAAAAGGCTCCGGCTGTCCCAAATTCAATCAAGCAAACATCGAGGAACATTCAGAGCCTTTTTGATCAATTAATGTAGCAGATGGCACGAGCGCAATCAAGAGAGATAATGCCGAGTGAGTGAGCAGCAGAGAGGGAAGAAGCAGGTGGAAGGTGTGAAAGTTCTGCCTTTTATGTGAAAGCTGAGATTCTTTACTTTGAAACGCAGTAAGACAAAATAAGTGAAAGACAGACAGCTAAGCGCAGTGTGTGTTTTTTGCACATTCCTACACACTTTTTGTTCTTTCCACTACTTGTATTGTGTGTGTTTGTGTGCCTTTTATGTAGAGGAGCAGCTGAGGAGCTGAGCTGGTGGCCACAGATAGAGAGCTAACATCCAGCAATAATCAAAGGAAGACAAAGTTAAATTCCATCTCTCTTGCAGAGGCTACGTGCTGTGTCGTATGTAGATTTCTGATATGAGGGGGTTTGAATATGGCTGCTTTATATTAGCATAAGAGTGTACGACAGAGGCCCTTGAAATGGAGATAAAGACAGTACAGACAGTGAGATGCGGCGGCACCTTCACCTGCCTTAGCGAATAGAAGTTATTGAGAATGTGGGAAACAGCTCAAACATCCACCTCTACTCTTTGTCTTTGAACACTTGCTTTTTACCAGGCTTAAGAGCGGAACCAATCGGGGTTAGGCTTACTACCTCAATTTACACCCCATGCATAAGAGACTAAATCAAAACAAGAAGCAAAGGCAAAAGGCGCTGCCGGGATCTGGATAACCCACAGGCTGTTTTATCTCTGAAACACATTGCCTTGTAGACAAAATAACTCATTTGTGGGGTTAGAAAAACAAGAGGAACTCGATGAGGAGCATTCCCACGACG